GACTGAAATGGGACTGCCCAAAAGACAGTATTGCGCACTCTGCTGAGGGATGACAGCATGGAAGCAACAGCAACAAAAACCTTAGGTCAGCTGCCAGTTTTAGAACCAGCTGTCACTGTGCCTATGGGGAAGCCTTACATTATCTTAGGCTAATGCAGGCAGTCATGATTAGAATTTGACCTATGTGCCAAGTCCAATGACAGCGATCCGTGATTCTGTGATCACTTTTAATATAGTTGAGTTATGACGCTGTGGTGCAAGGAATCTCAAAAGAAAGACTGCAGAGAAACTGCAATCCAGCGAACCTCCTCCTCTTCCACCTTCCTTGTTTTACCCTCACTGCAAGAACCAGACAGGGAAAAGCAGATGGGCTCCCTGCTCTCAAGGCGAACAGCCAGCAGCACCCCTAAGAGCAACTTCAGAGGCAACCCTAGGAAGCCTCTAAAAGCTGAGGCTAGGGAACACTGGGAGGACCAAGTAACTACAGGGGATATAGCTGCCAAACTCTTAAAACTCCTAACTGAGCACATGCCAGTTGAGATTCTTAAAAAGCTTATAAGTGCAGAACGCATTGCTCTGGCACCAGAACGATGGTTATCCACTTGTTCTATTTCTAGCTGTTGCTCTAAAGCACAGGCACAGTAAAACTCAATGAAAAAGTTAAACATTATCACAGTCAAACATTTTTTTTTCTAACCTAGACTCAGTTTAAGAAATGTCTGGATGGAATTTTCTTAAAATCTTTTTAAAGCAAGTTACATGGAAAATTTCAGACTGAATGATTATTCTTTGGCATAGTTCTATGTAACTGAAAACAGGACCTTAAAATGGGAAACACTGGCCAACCTGAATTCAGGAAAGTACTTCCAAGTCAGTCTCAATGCAATAACTGAAATTGCACAAGTGGCACAGGTGGTTAAAGCTCAAGAGAAACACAGATTCTAAATTAAACATTTATTTATGTTTATGTTTTTCAAATACTTCAGCATTAAGAGGATTTTTTAAAACCACTCCAAAAATGCAAAGATTCACAAAAAATTTCTAGCTCACATACTCTAGCACTCCTTTTATAATAGGCAGTCAATCAGTGGAACAAAGACCTAGCTAAAGCTCAGGGACTTAAATGATAACCTCTCCTTCACATAGACATACAAAGGTCACTTGACAGACTTCCACTGTTCACCTCAAGTGTCTCATCACCTTTAGCCTCTGACTGTATTTATGAACAAGCAAACCCCACATAACTGTGCTCACACAGAACTACGTTCTGTGTATCCAAAACTGCCCCTTGCCTAACAGTACACTGCTTTTCTCCTTTCTGTAAGAAAATCAATCAAGATGGGAATTATTACAAGTATCTGATCAGTCTTCAGAAATGCAAAGTATCTGAACAAAGCATGTGAACTCTATTTTCCTTTCATCTCAGTGATTTTACTTGGTTGCACTGCCTTTCTGAGAATGCTGTGCATTGTTAATTTCTGAATGGATCGTTGGTATCAGATTTCACCAAAATTCTTTAGCTTTTCCCAGTACTAACTTGTTGTAGCCTTGTTTTCATGCAACCAAAGACAAATGAAGTATATAGCTCATGTGAAGAGACTCATGGTAGAAAACAGACTCTCTCCAAAGCTATACCACTGAGTATACCACACAGTAGAAACACAGCAGATTAATACTTCCACTTCAAGTGCTGCTTCTTACTCATGTAACTTCAATTTATATACCATGGGTTGGACCATATGCATTGGCTTATAGATAGGGGAGCATAAAGTTCACTTGGGGATGTATAATGTATTCTTCCGTCAGCAACATGAGATTTATTTTCTTCATTTGGCTTCTCCAGAGGAACAAGGCCCAGTGCCCACTAGAACAAATGTGGGCATACTGTCTCTCCTGAGTAATTTACCGAAATCCCAAATTCAGTCTCATTAGTGAGAAAGGGTATTTCTGATATCAACAGCAGATGGTACTATGCAACGCAAATAGTTTATTTTTAGTAAGAACATTGCTGCCTCTGCTGACTAAATTGGTTATACTTCGTATCTATAACTGCTGGTTTACAATTAGCAAAATTCAACAATACATAATGACTAAGAAGTGCAATACACAAGCAAGTATTTATTCACAGCGCCTGAACAGGATACTAGATACACTGGGAACCACCAGATAAAGCAATTAACTACCTGAATACCATAAGAAAACCACAGAATGTGAAGATTAAGAGATGTCTTTCTCTGTGTGACAGTTGTTGCGTATCTACATTTCTGCATTATGCCCTTGGGGATTCCAAATGAGGAGCGTGAAACTCAGTTACACTTCTTTGGTTTGTAAAGCAAAAAATGTCACTTGATACTAAAATGCTGGATCTAAAATAAAAAAAGATGTGCTCATATTATTTGAAAATGAGGTAGTAAGCAGACCACCATCCCAAAAACATTTGTTGCCAGGCTTTCAGGACCAGATCTCAGTTCGAAAAAACAACCAAGCGGAGGGTTCAAATCAATAGGCAGGTGTGAGATCCTCCATCAGCTATTTGCCCATCCTACCACATGGGGCTTCTCAAAGAAAGAAAGTGTCAGGTTGGAGTTGAAATCTGCCTTGCTCATTTTTCACTGGTTTAATGTAAATTTGCGTTTGAGTTGAAGAAACCTCTTGGCTGTTCTAACTCATATCCAGGCCAGCGTAGTGCTTTGTTTACCTCCTGATGTCTCCCAGGAACCAAACTTCGCTGTTGGGAAAAACCAATATCTCATAGGCCCAAAACTCTTCCACAGTATAATTTGTTCTGTTTTCCAGCACAAAGTGAAATAGAACTATACATTGATACAGACATATTCAAGAGGTGTACAGGACTAAGCAGTGCAATTTATAAGCAGATGAAGAGCATAATTAACCTTGAAAAATCCTTTTTCACAGAATCACAGAATCATGAAATGGTAGGATTTGGTAGGGACCTCTGTGGATCATCTGCTCGAACCCCCCTGCCAAAGCAGGGTCACCTACAGCAGGCTGCAAAGGAACTTGTTCAGGCGGGTCTTGAATATCTCCAGAGAAGGAGACTCCACAACCTCCCTGGGAAACCTGTTCCTGTGCTCCATCACCCTCAGAGGGAAGAAGTTCTTCCTCATGTTCAGATGGAGCTTCCCATGCTTCAGTTTGTGCCCGTTGCCCCTTGTCCTGTCGCTGGGCACCACTGAAAAGAGGCTGGCCCCATCCTCCTGACACTCAACCTCAAGATATTTATAAGCATTTATAAGGTCCCCTCTCACCCTTCTCTTCTTCAGTCTAAACAAGCCCAGCTCCCTCAGCCTTTTCTTGCAGGAGAGATGCTCCAGTCCCCTCATCATCTTTGTAGCACTCCGCTGGACTGTCTCCAGTAGCTCCTCATCTTTCTTGAACTGGGGAGCCCAGAACTGGACACAGTACTCCAGATGGGGCCTCACTAGGGCAGAGTAGAGGGGAAGGAGAACCTCCCTCGACCTGCTGGCCACACTCCTCCTAATGCACCCCAAGATCCCATTGGCCTTCTTGGCAGCCAGGGCACACTGCTGGCTCATGGTTAACCTGTCATCCACCAGGACACCCAGGTCCCTCTCCGCAGAGCTGCTCTCCAGCAGGTCCGCCCCAAGTCTGTACTGATGCATGGGGTTGTTCCTCCCCAGGTGCAGGACCCTGCACTTGCCCTTGTTGAACTTCATCAGGTTCCTCTCTGCCCAGCTTTCCAGCCTGTCCAGGTCTCGCTGGATGACAGCACAGCCTTCTGGTGTATCCGCCACTCCTCCCAGTTTTGGGTCATCAGCAAACTTGCTGAGGGTACACTCTATCTCGTTATCCAGGTCATTGGTGAAGAAGTTGAATATGACTGGGCCAAGTACTGACCCCTGGGGAACACCACTAGTTACAGGTCTCCAACTAGACTCAGCGCCGCTGATGACAACCCTCTGAGCTCTGCCATTCAGCCATTTCTCAATCCACCTCACTGACCACTGCTGCATCCCACACTTCCTGAGCTTGCCTATAAGACAGTGTCGAAAGCCTTGCTGAAGTCGACACAGACAACATCCACTGCTCTCCCCTCACCTACGCAGCCAGTCATGCCATTGTAGAAAGCTATCAGATTGGTCAAGCATGATTTCCCCTTGGTGAATCCATGTTGACTACTCCTGATAACCTTCTCTTCCTCCACTTGCTTAATGATGACCTCAAGAATGAGCTGCTCCATCATCTTTCCAGAGATGGAGGTGAGGCTGTCCACCCTGTAGTTCCCTGGGTCCTCCTTCTTGCCCTTGTTGAAGACTGGAGTGACACTGGCTTTTGTCCAGTCCTCGGGCACCTCTCCTGTCCTCCAGGACCTTTCAAAGATGATGGAGGGTGGCTCAGCAATGACATCCACCAGCTCCCTCAGCACTCGTGGGTGCATTTCATTGGGACCTATTGACTTGTGGGTGTCCAGATTGCTGAAATGATCTCTCACACAGTCCTCCTCAACCAAGGGAAGGTCATACTTTCTGCAGGATTCCTCTCTTGCCTCCAGGGCCTGGCATACTTGAGGGCTGGCCTTAGCACTAAAGACTGAAGCAAACAAAGCACTCAGTAACTCTGCCTTCTCCGTATCCTCTGTCACCAGGGCGCTCACCTCGTTCAGCAGCGGCCCCACATTACCCCTAGTCTTCCTTTTGCTGCTGATGTACTTGCAGAAGCCCTTCTTGTTGTTTTTGACATCTCTTGCCAGCTTTAATTCCAGGTGGACCTTAGCCTTCCTCATTGCATCATTGCACGCTCTGACAACATTCCTGTACTCCTCCCAAGTGGCCGGATGAGGCAGCTTTCCTGCATGTGAAATAAGCACGCACATCTTACCTGCCTTTGGAAGGGTACTGGGAATTACCACAATAAAGTTTCCATAGCACTTTGAGATCCCTAGATAAAGGTGCTGGATGAGTGAGGAAGGCGTTTCTGTATGCTTAATTTTCTTTTTCAGAGTAGAACTCAGATCTTACTTTGCTTCCAGTGCCAGTGCAATGATGCCTGCAGCCATAGGTGCGGAGGCTGAGGTTCCAGTATGGCTGTCTGTGCAACGCTGTCTCAGGTCTGTGGTGATCTGGAAGAAATCAAATGTGTGAAATTTAGAACACAGCTTCAGAAATCAGAACAGGTTTCATTTGCTTGAATGAGTCACATGTACGTGGAGGGTACTTCCTTCTTTCATTGTAAGGAAAGAAAAAATAAAGGTGTCTGAATTAGATGATCTGTTAGATGTTCTGAGCTTCAAGTCACTTGTGAACTTGAAGAAGGGTTCTCTGTATTGGACTGAAAACATAAGTTAATCTCTGTTTTTTTCAAGGCATGATCAACAAAAAGACTTGTAAATTAGAAAAACATGCAGAGGGTTTTAAAACTGCACAGTTAGAACTCTGCCCTTCTATTTGCATTTATAGAGCACTTTCCATCCAAGAATTTCAAAGTGCTTTACAAACAGCTTACAGCTCTCCCTATATACAGACTGGTTATGCCCATTTTAGAGACTATAAAAGAGGTATGGAGGGGTTAATTGGGTTGCCTACAGTCACACTGGAAGTATGTGACAGAATAGAATGTAGTTGGGCTCATGCTAAGTACCATGTTTAATCCTTCCTTTATGCCTTATGCAATAATTCACGTGAAATTAAGCAATAATTTATTGGAAAATCCTGATGTAATCACAAATTTGGCCTAGACATCACCAGCCAATTAGTTATTTGCAGCTTTAAATTGTTACATATTCCTTAATTATATGCTGCCACATATTTTTATATGCAATCTAAGTGGATGTATAAACTGTAATGTGCAATACCAACTAAAGACACAGTCTTCTACTTAGTGTTAGGATGTTCCTATATCATAATGAATTTTAGGCAGATTCTTTCCATAAGACAGTAAATCACACACAAGAATGTGTTTATTCTGCTTCTTTCAGGCAGTGTTAACCTAAAGTGACTGCTCTTGTTCCCGAAGGAGTCGTTCATAGCAAGAGCAAGTCAGTAGAGACAGGAAGTCGCTGATGCCTAAGAGAAGCTCAAGCAAACCCCACGTGGAGTTGAGAACTGTTGCTAGCAGACATCAGTGCACAGCACAGAAACATCCATGAAGGTGACAGAGTGAACGACGTGTGATGCCAAACCCTTTTCTTGGCATTTCATCTGAGATTCAGTCACTATGAGACATAAATTGTCTGCCTGAGGGGCAGAGGAGAAGTTGCTTACACAGCTTTTTACCTAAGTATATAGAATTAACGTGTCTCCTTTTCTTCTCATTCACTAGTATCATACTTCTTCTGCAACATGGATATGCATAAAGATGGGAGAGAATCAGAGGATCGAAAAAATCACAAAAAAGCACACGGCATGTAAAAAAGACTGTCTAGCTTCGAAACTAGGAGATATATAAAATATGACCTGAAAAAACAGCTACATCCCATCTGGGCAGCATGCAAGCAATTGCATGTAGGAGGTATAGGTTTCACACATTCACATTAGTCATATTCAGTAGTAGACGTATTACATAATTTGTATAAGGCTGCTGAAAGTTCTCACGACATGTAAGCACACGCAAGGTAACACAAAAGACTTGTAATAGAGAAGGAGCTAACAGCACCCAGGAAATGGTTGTTGAGAGCAAGTAGTAAGTGAAACAAAATGGAAGCTTCTAGAAGTTGAAAAAGATAGATTAAAACATTTATAATGTCACATCCTTAAATTAGCGAACTTACCAAAGGCCAGATTTCTTGAATAATGAAGTCTAGAAAGAAACTTTTTTCCCTTATTATTTAATATCCTTCATAAATGCACACCTTGTTAAATAATTCTTTTATCTATCATCAGCTAAAAGTTGAACCCCATAAACAAAACGTTCATATAATTTCTTTGTCTCACCTTTTCTCCTATTGACTGTGTACTAATTTAGACCACAAAAATTAGTAGTGTTGGAAAAACTTTTACATGTACAAATTCCATAAATGCCCTCACCATATTACGAGATGAAACTGCAGCAGGAACAGGCCTTAACACTACATTGCTTATGGGTGCAAATACAAGTAGTGATTTTGCAGGTGGGATTAACATGTCCAAGGACTACAGGATGACATGCATCCACATGGAGACATACAAGATCTCATTTGGAAAAACACTTTTCAGTGCTGTGGCAAGGAGTGGAAGGAAGGCCAGGAAAAGGAGAGGGCAGAAAAAGGGAGTAATACGTGCTTATCTCTTTTGTTGCCTGGTACCTTGTTCCCTGGAAAAAGTGTTGCAGCAGGTGCTTTCCTCAGAGGACCAAGGGAAACCAAGCCCACAGGAGGAGCTCAGGCAGGAAGAAGTGCCCTCACAGAAGCTTTTCCTTAAGCGACAGCCTCTGTCAGTATAGTGAAAAGCACACTGCATTGCGCTGTGTTTCTCATCCTCTGGAAGAACATGCTTCCAGAGTGTTTTTATTGTCCTGTAGCTACAGATATCAAGCACAATAAACCATGACACCTCTTTATTTGGCAACATTGTCTCTCAGATTCCAAGTGGATGTTGTGGCAGCAGCTTGAACTACAGACCCTTTCTCTCTCTTCCATTCAGCAAATATTTCAGCAGAAAACAGGTAGGGAAAGCTTCCTAAATGGAAATCCCATATGAGCTATTTCAAAGGAAAGTTACTGATGGGAGCTGAGATGTTTAGGTGTAAATCACCTCGAAGATCTGAGGCAAGTTTTTCAGCACTATGGATTCACTGTCAGAGAAGTGTCACTTCTACCCTGAGAAAAAAAAAGAGTACAGGACCACCAACAAGCATGCAAGTTTCAAGAAGAAAAATGGTGCTCCAAATTCCTGAACCACATGAGAGCAACATCATTTATCACTACAAAAGGACGTGGTATTTGACAGCACCTTGAATCTGTCATTACTGTATATTAGCTGTCATTCTGAACAATAGGGTGGGGAGAAGGAGATTTTTTTTAATCTTTTTTTGAGTACAACAAACACATTTGTACGCTTCAAACACCTTTGAAACAACTGCTGATCTATGAAAATACTGATCAGACTGCCAGAGAAAAGTCCATGCCATATTTCTAGGGCCATACGCTGTATCCACTTCTAAATCTTATGAATCAACTAGATTTGACTGAAGACAATGACAATGTTTCTGGTACCAGCCTAGTTTAATCAACATGAAATTAGCAACCTAGGGCAGAAGCCCTGATGAAAGGCAGACAAAAATGATACGAAGTACCACCATGCACTGTAATACCTGCCATATGCAGAAGTCCAGCAGCTTTTAGAAAATCAATGTTATTAAAGAAAAAACCCTAGACACACTGTAAGAATTTTATAGAAGCAATTTGCTCTGAAGAATTAAGGACATGACATTTCTGTACAGTCGTTATTAAGGCTGCATCATCAATCTTTCAGTAGTTTCATCAATTGGGAGGTTAATGACTAAGGTCAAAAATGGGATTTCCCTTGGCATAGAACATGCTGAGTCTTCCTCTCCCAAGCCTCTGCATTTCCTGCTACTTCACATTTCATGACATGAGCTTTCTGAACTGACTGAACTATTTTTGCCTTCTGCTACTGTTCTTCAAGTTATGTTTATTTCTATTAACCTGTCCCTGTAAATGACATGGGTTTAACAAAAATCTACTGTTCCTTCTCATACCCTTTGTGTATCTGTATCTACCCAAAAACTGAAGGTGTCATGTTGTGTGTATCTTAATACCCTGAAAGAGTTTCTGAAAAAGAGCAGGTTTTTATTTGTGTTTTAAGAACTAGTAGGAGATTTTTTAAAATTTTTTTATTTTTGTTTAAAGTTCTGCTTAGAGCAGAAGCTAGTCTGTGAGGCAGAAATATATCTTCGAAGAAAAAGAAACTCAGCAAATGAATTGGCATTTATTAGAAAACAAAGAAATAGGTGGAACAGTAAGTAGAGAGGTTATTTTCAGAAGATCACATAATAGGTTTATAAATTGTATCTGTGAGGGACTTTCAAATGTAAATTCCTTAGTCCTTTAAGAAATTATTTCAAAAAGGAATTAAAAGGAAATGTGATGCATTTGTGCAATATGTTTGATAGATGAACGGCCCATATAGGTAACTATATTAGGTGGTGCTTAACCCATCCCAGTGGCATGGTCTGGAGTGGGGAAGCTAACTTCCAGCATTTTCCTACGGTATCAAAATAGTGGAGAAGAGAATAATAGGAAAAATACCTCGACCACTGTGTATTATTAGCCAATACTTCTGCACTCACTCTGTTATGAGAGATAATCTCTATAAAGAAGTATATTTTTGTGGTCTTCACCTACTATTGATTTGCCTTTGTCCCAGAGTATGAGTTTTTATGCCTCCACCTATGCCAGCACTTTGCAGCTGCTGTTGATAACACGTAGACGTAATTCTAGTTCTTTTCTCTAAGTAAAAGGTATACATCCAGCTGCATCCATGAAATATTTGTATGCTTTCTGCATGTTAATATACTCAAAATTTGGAAACTCAATCTGTAGTGGGCTAGCAGTTACTGCAATAAAATTTGATACAACACAAAGTTAAGCACACTTGGACTATTTTCCCTCAGCAACAAGGAACTCCTGCAAGATGATAACATCAGTGTGTGTTTAACTGTAATTGTTAGCTCAAATTATTTCAGGCCAGAATTTGCTTCCATTTACTTAAGTTCAAAGTCAGTAAAAAAAGCTCCATTTGGAAAACAGAGTTGTATAGATGAAATTGTGTTCTTAAGCTATCATTGCACAAGACTGAGAAAAACCTCCAGACTAGAAAACCTTCTAAAATTATGTTACATCCTACATTTGTAGCTAGCAATTATAAAAACACGTAGTAATGAAAAGTGAAAAAAAAAGTCTTTTGTGTAGTTATAAAAGTGTGGGTGCTCCTGTTTGTTCATCTACCTTATAATACATTCTGCACATATTGGGTAGAACAAAAAGAAATAAAATAAAAAAAAAGATCTTAAACTGAAGAACTGCAAGGAAAAATATGAAGGAAGTATGGAAGATGACACTGTAAAGTTGTAACCATTCACTGTTCCTTAATTGAGGATAAATATTTCTGTACTACAACACTG